AGAGAGAGAGAGAGAAATAGAGATAGATATCAAAGACTAGTCTTTTTTTTCTTTATCGATAAAGTTCTATAAATAAAGTGAATTTTGCGGTGTGTCTTGGTTGTGGCAAATTAGCTATAGAAGATTTTATTTCTGTCTAGACAATTTGATTCACTAATTTGCACGCTTATTTCATCTTAAACTTGTCCTCAGCTTTATACGATAAGTACAAGCTGCTACTTTCTTTTATTTTATTATCTTTTTCCGTTTTCTTTTCTATTTGTTTATTCACCATACTCATTGAACGACTACTCGAACAAGTACTCGTTTGTTTGTCCATACAGGTCATTCCAACAGCTTGATCTTTCACCAATATCAATAAGTCGTTGTCCGTCCCTCTGTCACAGGTTTGCACACAAATCACCTTGACATCTTCCTTCTTCTTTTTCGTTCTCTTTACTGGCTTTGGTGCTTTTTGACACTCGGTGAACAGCATCTCAGGTTTTGTGCACGAAGTTACACTGCATTCCATCAGAGTGCTCGGGCATTCTCTCAGGTCGCATTTGAATCCTATAGCTTTCTTCACCGTTATCTTCCTGCACATCTCTGTTACTTTTTTCATGAAAGATTTTTTTTTTTTCTCCTACAAATACACCAGAAAAGGGGGGAAAAAAATATATCATGCTTTATCGCGAGGCATTATGGATCGTCAGAATCTTCTTTCTTATTATGTTACGTTAGAAGGAAGAAAAAAAAAAGAAAAAAGAAAAAAGAAAGAAAAAAAAAAAAAAGATTGTTTTGCCTTGTCCCCCACCTTGACTTGCTCCGAAATATGTTGAATCTTCTTTTTACTCCTCTTCGTCCTATACGTGATCGCTCGTTTTTCTTTCTTCGGCGCGCACACAGTTAATGTGAAACTGAAGGATCATTTAACTCAGCTTATAAGCATCTAAAATTTGTGTCAATTTGCTAAAAGGAACAAAATCGTTTACCTTGGACAGGCTATGTCCCTTTTGTTACCTAAGCAATGTCTCGAGCAACCGCGGAGAACTTTCGGCTTTCTTCTACAAACATCGATTTCCTTCACGCATTTTTTTTCGGGTAAGATTTCTTCCTTCTTTGGCGGGATTTTCACTTCTGGTACGATCTCTTTTGGTACGATTACTTTTGGTGGGATCTCTTTTGGTGGGATCTCTTTTGGTGGGATCTCTTTTGGTATGATTACTTTTGGTGGGATCTCTTTTGGTGGGATCTCTTTTGGTGGGATCTCGATTGGTGGGATCTCTTGTGGCACGATCTCTCTTGGTGGGGTCTCTCTTGGTGGGATCTCTCTTGGTGGGGTCTCTTCTTTTCCCAGCGTGATTTCCAGCGTTGCTTGCTTCGTGATCTGAGGACGAGGATTGGAAGGCATCTGGTGATTTTCATTCTCGACAACACCCTCTTCATTCCCTGTTCCTTTCGATTTCAATATTCCTTTTTTTCCTTTCTGTTCGTTTCGTTGTTGTCCTTGTTTGCCTTTTTAATCATTCCCTTTCATTCTATCTTCACCGTAATAATTAATCTCGTTTCGTTCACGTAATCGAGATTATCGTTAACACTTGTCGAAATTTCAAAACAACGTACCCAGATTTGTCTCAAATCTTCAACAAATTCAATGGATTCTTTTTATTCATATTCTGTGTAATCGTCAATTTCAATGGAATGCGCGCTTCCCTCAGTGGAACTGTCTGAACGTCGTATACGCATAGTGGCCCATTCGCGTAAAATTATTATAGTTTTCGTGCCCATTTTTAAGCCATTTTCCTGAGGAGTTGCTGGACACCTTGCTATTATGATGAGTCTATCATTCTGCTTTAAACGCAATATTAATTAAATTATGTTAATAAAAATAAAATGTTAATCTTTTGTGAATTCGATATTTGAAGGAAGTTATTTAATTTTTTTTTTTTTTTTTTTCTTTATTAAATAACGTCACGTCATCGGATACGCGCGAGTGAAAATTTTTTTGTACGAAAGTATCGATATATATATATGTATATATATATATATATATTAACCTCGTTCTTCATGAATGTCCGTATTTTATACCAAACTTTTCTGAAGATTCGAAAGCTTTTAAAAAACTTGCAGACCAACTTATCCAATTATACGAATGAATATTAGAAGTCGCAGCATGTTGCGACAAAGGACAATTAAAGAAACGACTAAAATTTGCCCATCAAAACGAAAAGGTTCGTCTGATTTACAAGGGTGGCGCCATTTAAACATATGAACGTCGACTTTCTTCTACACTTTTGCCTTCGTTCGTTCCATCCATCGTGGATCCAAATAGTCGAATATTTGACCAAAATTGTCCACCAAAAGAGAGAGAGAGAGAGAGAGAGAGAGAGAGAGAGAGAGAGAGAGAGAGAGAGAGAGAGAAGAAGAAGAAGTAA